GACGAGCCACGAGCTGAGCGGCTTGTAGCTCGTTCAAACGAGCGGCTCAGCTTGCCTCTCGGCGAGGCCCGCTCGGCTCGTGCTCGAGCTCGTGATTTTAAGAGTTTGAGCCGCCCACGAGCCACCCTTTTGACATCCTTAATTATAAGTAAGTTCTTTAGATCTTGAAATAAACAATTTTAATAATAATTGAAATAAGTTAATTAGTGCTTTGACAATGAAATCAATATCGGCACTTAATGACATATTATATTAGGTAAATAACAAATTTAATTCAAATGTTGAGATCCACCGTAAACTTATTCAATAAATGAATAAGTTTTAATAAACTATTAAGGGTGCATTTGATTGCAAATATGAAATTTGTATGAAAAGAAAATAAATTTTAGGTAATTCAATTGCTTAGAATTTATTTGTATGAAAATTGTCAATTAAATGTGTTTGATTGATTTAACTTTCAACCTAGAAAATATTATATTTATCCATTTTTTATTGTTGGGTTAATGAGAGAGAGTGGATAAATAAGAAAGAGAAAGAGAGAGTGAATTCCGTGAAAAATAAAATCATACTCTTCTTTAAGAAAATATTTTCCTTGATTTTAAGAAAAATATGGTTGCGTGATCAAAAGTGGAAAAATATTTTTCATGAAAAAAAATGGCAATCAAAAATCATAAAAGTAGGAATTTAGGTGGAAAAAACTTATTTTCCATGAAAAATATAAACAATCAAACGCACTATAATAGTCATGTAAATATTTTTAAAAGGAATTTTTTAAGTGTGTCTACACTTTACATGTTATTTTTTTAATTTACATTTAAATACTTATTGCAAGTTATGATCTTTAATACAAGTGCACATTCCAAGAAGAAGATCAAGAGGGAGTAACCATAAACAAAGATCTTATAGTTACTGCAATCAAGGCCATAGAATTAAATTTGCAAAAAATGGCCTTCCCCTGCTCGGCCCACCTCCCGGCTCGGCCCGCTCGGTTCATGCTCGGACTCGTGATTTGACGAGCTCGAACCGCCCACGAGCGGCTCGGCCTTTTTGACATCCCTAATTATAAGCAAGTTCTTTAAATCTTGAAATAAACAATTTTAATAATTATTGAAATAAGTCAATTAATGCTTTGACAATGAAATCAATATCGGTACTTAATGACATATTATATTAGGTAAATAACAAATTTAATTCAAATGTTGAAATCCACCATAAACTTATTCAATAAATGAATAAGTTTTAATAAACTATTAAGGGTGCATTTGATTGCAAGTATGAAATTTGTATGGAAAGAAAATAAATTTTAGGTAATTCAATTGCCTAGAATTTATTTGTATAAAAATTGTCAATTAAATGTGTTTAATTGATTGAACTTTCAATCTAGAAAATATTATATTTATATATTTTTTATTGTTGGGTTAATGAGAGAGAGTGGATAAATAAGAGAGAGAAAGAGAGAGTGAATTTCGGGGAAAATAAAATCATACTCTTCTTTAAGAAAATATTTTCCTTGATTTTGAAGAAAATATGGTCGCGTGATCGAAAGTGGAAAAAAATGGCAATCAAACAGCACAAAAGTAGGAATTTGGACGGAAAAAACTTATTTTCCATGAAAAATATAAGCAATCAAACGCACTATAATAGTCATGTAAATATTTTTAAAAGGAATTTTTTAAGTGTGTCTACACTTTACATATTATTTTTTTAATTTACATTTAAATACTTATTGCAAGTTATGATCTTTAATACAAGTGCACATTCCAAGAAGAAGATCAAGAGGGAGTAACCATAAACAAAGATCTTATCGTTGCTGCAGTCAAGGCCATAGAATTAAATTTGCAAAAACTGGCCTTCCCTTGTCTGAGCAAATTCCCATTCTCAAAAATTACATAATTAGACTTGGCAAAGATCACGCCACATATTGAAATTCAATTACAATTTTGATCACTTTCTAACTCGTGTGGGCGGAAAACTAGTGCTAGGTGAACTAAGGAGGAACTTGGGATTTACTGATGCTCTCGTGGAACCTTCTATAATGATCATGCATAGGTTTGATTTGGCTTAACACTAGGGATGTCTAGTACGATCAGAATCAGAAGAATCGTTGAGATTATATTTGAAGTCCAAAAGATACATAAGAACCATTTTTCGTTACCTATAAGATCGTAGCAAGTTTTCGAATTAGAGAAGGACAGAGAATTCTATGCAGAATATACAAGTTCTCAATGTACAAAAATCATGCAAAAACTGGAATTTCAAATTTCAGAAATCCTTCAAAACATATAAGAATTTGTTGTGACTTGAAAAAACAAGAAAATAAAAAGAGTTCTAAATTTCAAAATTAAATCCTTTTTAATTTTCAGTTTTTCTTATTTTAATTTTAGATTAAATACAAAAATTATTATATTTAATAGTATAATTTGACTTCTGTTATTAATGAATTAATTTTCATTATGATAGGAGTGAACTTTTACATTACATTATAAAAGGGAGATGAATTTCATTGTTCAAGATATAATTTATAAAGATGACTTGGAAAAATGCTACATCTACATTTCATACTATTTATATATTTTTTGGTAACTCGATGAAAAATTCGTTCTTTATCTCCTTGTGATCTTGCCCTTAGAAAGAGAAGCAATTGTGAGTTATATGAATCTTATCTTGAAGACGTGTAATGCCAAAAGTATCCGTACAAAAGAAAGGCGACACAACTTTAAGACAGCGTCCTTAATGTAATTCTCTAAGTCTTTCTTTTCTAACTCTCTCTATTTACGTTTTATGTTTATATTATTGTTAAATTATATTTATATTATTATATTAGAATAATTGATGAATATATATACCCACAAGTCACTGGTATTTTACAACTGAATTCAAGACTAAGTCAGGTATCAGCAGTGGCAGCTAGTCTTTTAACATATCTTTTTCACCATGTGATCATTTTTTTATGTAAATTTTTCACCATTATGCTGCAAAGTCCTCTCAATGTTCTACTTGATAATCACAACTCAAGGCCGCATATGTTTAAGGCAGTATAATGCCTGAGTCATTTGGAATTGGTTTGATCATGACATGATTCAAAAGTAGGAACGAACTAAGCTGTTGATTTTTTTGAGATAAGTGAAATCATGAGGCCACCATTTATTTCTGTATTTGGAATAGTGTAGATTTTAACACTTGAAGCCTTGGAAAAACCATAACCTTCATGGATTATAATCCGATGGGCGACTTGTACGTACCATGCATTAATACAAGAAAGAAAATTGGGTGAATTATTGGTACAACTTAAAAGAAAATATTAATTGTGATCCAAAAGCACAAACCAGCAAGCAATAAAGTTTCTGACAAAAAATAAAGCAACAAAATGAAAAGATGGGTGATGGTCTGTATCTTCAGTTTTTATACTTCATGATGCTGCTACTATTTCTTTTTTACAATATCAGATATTGTTGGAAAAAGGGTGCTTATATGAGATTGCTTTGACATATTTTTGAATTGGATTCATTTCTTTGTTTTGGAAGATCAAAATATATTTGTGTTTTCCTCTTTGAGAGCATTGAGATCATATATTTACTTACCAAAGACTTTGATCAAGTGAATGAAAAATTTGAGTTCAAAGTGTACTGAAAGAGGTTTATGTGTAGGAAGAAAAAATTAGTAAAGTTTGTCTCACATAAGAAAATGGATACTGCAATGATTAATTTATATATAGTCGTACTTGTAAAAAGTGTAATCATGTTGTAGCATTGAGGCGTGCGTGTGCAGAAGGTGCAAGTCACGGACTGGATTAGGCACAATGCGCTCAAAAAATGAGGGAAAAAAATAGTTTTGCCCTCTTCTTATTTACGAAAATACTTAAAATTCAGTCAAATTCTTCTATCTTCAGTTCTTTGAACCAAAGTTAGAGAGTGTTTGGTAAACATTTTTATATAAAAATGTATTTTTGAATAATAAATTGATGGGAAATGTGTGGTTGAAAATAAGGAAAAGTTTTTGATTTACGTGTAATATTATTTTAATAAAGACTGTGTGGTTGAAAATAAGAGAGAGAAAAATACATTTTAAAAATAATGAGTACCAAACGGGGCCTTAGTAGATGACTAGTCTTCAACTTTGAGAAAACAAAAGATGAAAAGATCTTGAAATGGAGCACACATTCACAGTGCAGTACTATAACCAGAATCTGATCCTCTGAGAATCTTTCATCCCAAGATTTTTAACTCAAGAGCCAAGAGGATTGCAGTCAAATGCAATCAACCATGACATGAATATGTAGTACGCACTTCTAAAGTCCCGTTTGGTAGGAATTTTTTGTCCCAAAAAATTAATTTTTTGACCGTTATTTTACTATTTAAGTCGTAATTTTTGACTTCTTCTCTCACATGTATACCCCACTTTTCTTCTAACGGTCAAAAAATCAATTCTCAAAATCCCTACCAAACGGGCCCTAAATAACATAATGAATTTAAAAAATAAAAATAAAAAGATTTTTTTAATAGTATTTAGCAACAATGATCTGTTCAGCCTTTTAACTTTTTGAGCTATACGGGTCGAGACCCACTCGATCAAGTAACTTCACAATATGTGCAATTTTCTTTTTTATTATTTATTTATTTATTATCTTAGATAATTTCAAAACATCCACTATACCCTTTAAACTAGATATTGTGTATGAGCAAAGGGATGAAGCAAGATGTGCAACAAAAGTATAATGAACTGTAGCATTTAATTATACCTTCTAAACACAGATATTTGACTCATTGGTTTAAATCAAGCAGACGAGATGTGAACTTCTATTATATTCATATTTTTTTCAGATTCATAGATTTCATGTACTCAATTGGATCTTGCTTGAATTGGAGCTTTATAATTCAATCGAATTCTCTAGTTAAATGGAAATGTAAACATGAAATCGAATTGAATAAAGTTTCATTCTTTGTTTGTCTAATTCAAGGGGAAAGTGCCTATTTAAACACGACTTTTACCTTCTGAGGAGATCATGGGTTTTTGGG